GGACTAATTAGTGCGATTTAGTTAAAATACTTATACCCATTTTGGACTATATCAATGTTCGATATGTCAAAATATATTGCAAATAAATCTAAATCCTTACGTAATTAGAAAAAAGGCAGAAATGCCTGAAAAACGTTCAACAATTACCAAATATTTTATTTTCTTAATAAAAAACGTTCTTTTCGTTTTTAAATATTATCTCGCTTATTGTTAGAGATGAACACAACAAACCATATATGACTGTGCTCGGCGCGGCTTCGGCAGGGAACGTTCTATCCAATTGTGTAAAAACATATAGGGTGTTCCATTGAAATTAACAAAGTTAACATCCGCGGCCATTTTGTATGAACTTTATTTGTTTTTCTACTATCATATTCGAAAATTTCATAAAAAATCGTGCAACTTTTGTATTTCACATTTTTTTATAACTCTTAAAACAAAAAAGTTAAAGGGGTGGTCAAAATATAGTGAATCACCCTGTACCTAGTTATAAGACGTCTGTGTAGAAATTTTATTATAAGCAGATACCTAATGTTTAAGTGATAAATTAATAGGAAGAACACTTCTGTATCTTTAAATTAAAGCTTGTTTTTTTTAAGATTTCTTCGGTTAAATTCCTTATTTACTATTTATTTAATTAAGACTGCATGATTAATGATTATTAATATTTATTATTGGAAGAAAACTACGATTCAAAAACATTGAAATAAACATAATAAGTAGGTATATTGAAAGTATTTAATAAAAAACAAGTTAAAGGTTAAGAAGAAACTCAAAGTTTAATTTAGTTTTGTTAGTAGAAACAGATACATAAGTAATTAATAAAAATACTGAATAAATAATAAATGTTAATGATAATTGTTAAGTATAATAGCATGTTTATATTTCACATTGCAATACCAAAATTATGACTTTTTTAAGTTTTAGAAACTTCTCGAGAATTCGAGAATTCCCGGGAATTCCTAGTCGAGAATTCTCGAGACCCGAGAAAAAAAATAGGCCGAGAAATCAGAAACCCTAACTATAAAGGACCCAATAAAGGACTATGACAAAAACCAATATTAAAGATTGCTGAGATTTTGGAATTGGAAGCTCAGAAGCAATAGCTACCTAGTATTTTACCATTCAGTAGTAATGGTAGATTTGTATTTATGTATTTATATAAAAAAAAACGCACTATGTTCATATGTATATCGCTCAACAGCTGTACTAATTACAGAATCACAACGTATTGGCAAGGCAGGCAAGGCAGCAGTGAGAAAGTTATCACTTCCTCTCGACTCTCGACGACCATGCCAAGTTATTAAATCCTAGAAGCCGAGAAATAACACTCATCATTGCCATTTTATTTTCTGTTAAAAATAATATTTCGAGACGGTTATCTATCTCTTTTGTGTAAATTTTATTCACATTAATGTAATGCTTCACACATCAAATTTATTTTTGCAACCTCTTAATTTTTACTGTGCACATCTAATGTAATAATAAATAATCCACGATTTTTTTTTCTTAAAAATTCACCAACTTACACGCATATTGGTCGGTCACAATCGGAGTAATTTCATCTTCTTCAGTAGGTTCACCATCAGGAACAACATAAGTCAAAAGGCTAGCGTCGGACAGTATTGAAGTTCGTCCTTCCAAGTCTCTTTCGAAATGGCTATAAGTATCTGCAAAATATAATTAACTGATGGATACTTTCGAACAAAGCAGGTGGTAATCTTTATATAGGGTGTCCTAAAAGTAACACAGGGTTTGAATTGTGTGTCATTTTAATTCTGAAGAATTGGCAGCATTGTGCAGGGTCGCACGTTGTAGTAAACACTTTGTGGTTAGACAAAATGGAGCGCTATACGATGGATGAACAAGTGAAGATTGTGAAAATTAATTACATGTGCGGAGAGTGTGTAGCTGACACTGTACGCAAATTCCTTCGATAGAAGGAACGCCCCGAATGAAACAACTATGAAAAGATTAGTTGCGAAATTTGAACAAACAGACGAAAATATTGCTACAGTAAGTGATAGTGTGGCGGAAATCCTCGTAACCTCAGTACGCCGTTAGTCACTGTAAATAAATATTTCAAAAAGCATAATGCAGCGGATGTTAACAAAAAATCGACATCTGCATCCATTCAAGATTCAGTTAACCCAGGAATTGAAACCAGACGACCATTTAGTGCACCGGACATTATTTGTCGATTGGATGTTGAAGAATCAACAAGTGGACGGTGATTTTGCTAAGAAAATCATCTTTAGCGATGAGGCGTATTTGACTTTTTCCTGTGGGGGGGGGGGATTAGTAAAGGTTACTCTGCTCAAATGAATACCATTCTTGAATTAATAGCAGAAACGAAATTCAGCAGCAGGTATTTGAAAGCGTGACATAGAAGTTTCTTAAAAGAAGTTGAATATGCAAATAAGTCGCGGAGGACATCTGTCCGATATCCTCTTTCATATTTAATGGCAATGTGTACCTTTTAATAGTTATTTACGTTACAAGGCCGGGAAATAGTATATTAAAGTACAAGTCTAGATGTTTACGGACGAGGCGACGAAGGAGCCGAGTCAGGAATTTCTAGACGAGTACTTTAATGATATTTCACGGCCGTGTATCGTACAACGTTTTATTTCATACTGTATTGTATTAAAAATGAAATTTTAATGTTTTATTTTACATAACCTGCCTGTATGTAGGTGTTAGCGTGGTTTCCATTCTTGTTTTATCGCATAGCTTTTGATTTAGCTTAGTGATGTAAAAACAAAAATAACAAATTTGACAGTTTGTCATCCCGTGCGTATTTTGTGATAATTTTCGTAAAAAATTGAAGAAATCGACCTAAAATGTGCTGAAGCAACCAGTAAATTGGTGCCTACGAAGTCTTCTACTCGTTATGAGAAGGAATACCAGCTCTTCAACGTGTTTTTCAAAAGCAGTCCGGGAAGTAAAAATTTTCCGGACTCAGTACTGTAATGAGTTATTTCCCGGACTTAAATGAGTCCGGGAAATAACTCATTACAGTACAGTATGAAATAAAAACATGTAAAAACTTCGCTAGCTTTTTAGTTAATAAAATTTTTATTTCTTCATATGAAATCCTGTCTTTTGGGACACCCTTTACATAATGTGTCCCGTTTATACTTAACGCCCCTACTTAACGTTGTGTTTTCGAGATACAGGGTGTTGAAATCGTTTCTTTGAAAAGGTTTCCCTTATTTATATTTAAATCGGTTAAAAACAAAATATATATTATTTTTGCTCACCCTGAAAAATTCTCTCGCTAGAAAATTTTAAACATGTCTGACTAAAACTTTAGAAATTATTAAGGAAAAGCTATTTTTTATTTTTCACTTTGACACCCCGTATCTTTTTTTATGCGACTAGGGATATAGGTACGTTAGATTAAATCAACTTATTTTCATCTAAGGAATCTCTGGCATCATTTGTGCCCCTTCATTTACATACACCCTGTATACAGTGCTATTTTTTTAAAACCTGACATGGGCAAACTTTTTTATTTGAAGTGGTAGACTAGTACTTCCAAATGCAAAGTTGTAGGAAATAACTTGATTAAGAAAAATTTACAAATAATTCTTTCCGGTGTTGTCAGGTTTCTGCAGTAGCTACTAAAACGATATTTTTTTAAATGGCAACACCGTATTTTTTTAACATAATTTGACAAACCTTCAAATTCTAAATAAAAAATGTTGTCACATTTCCTTATTGGAGTAGCCGTTTTCGAACAATCAGAAAAAACAACGAAAATAATCTGCAGTCGGCAGGAACTAAAAGAAGCTAAAACAGCAATAGTAGGCTTTGGATATTGAACAAAAATTGTGTTGTTTGAAAGGAGCTATCATTATTGTATTGTCATTGTGTTATTTGAAAGCTGTTGTATTTGAATGTGTATAAAAATAACGTTTTAATTCAGTTGCTAAGATGAATCAGTTATTTAATCCAAAAGAGAAAGTTGAATTAATTTTTCTTCATGTTAATGGCTTAAGTATACGCAATGCGTGCGCTGAATTCCACGCAAGACATCCCGATAAGCCTTTTCCAAATCCGGAGTTTTTAAGAACTAACTTAGTAAAACTGAAAACAACTGGTAGGATCTGCAAAAAGCTGAAAATCATATTCGCAACACAATTTTTGTTTAATATCCAAGGCCTACTATTGCTGTTTTAGCTTCTTTTAGTTCCTGCCGACTGCAGATTATTTTCGTTGTTTTTGCTGATTGTTCGAAAACGGCTACTCCAGTAAGGAAATGTGACATAACATCTGACAACACCGGAAAGAATTATTTGTAAATTTTTCTTAATCAAGTTATTTCCTACAACTTTGCATTTGGAAGTACTAGTCTATAACTTTAAATAAAAAAATTGGCCTATGTTTTAAAAAAATAGCACTGTATAATATAATAGTATATACAGGATGTTAATTAGGTATGTACAATAAATTCAACAGACGATTATTTCAGTGATTTTAAGACAAGAAGATACAGAGTGTACTTTTGTACTTTTGTACACTTTTGTACACGTAAACTTTTTTAAAAAAATTACTATTTCGTAAATATATTAAATACCCTTTGCCCAATTTTGTTGTAATTTGGCAGTGTTATTTGTAGTGTCAAGGGGCCAATTTAAACCTAACTTGATTAGATTTATTAAGTCCAATGGCGTCCCGAGCGGTACCTCAACGAATATTTTTGACGAAAAAAATGTACGCCAGTGACTTTTTTGTAAATTTTATATCTTTTTTGAATTAAGCAACTGAAAATACAACTTTTTTGTCCCTTGAATATTTTTCGTATCTTGATTAATTTTTGTAAAAAAAAAAATTAAATCCACTTAATTGCATATCCCTGGACCACACGAGAAACATGGGGATAAGTTTCTTTTGGAAATTATCAATTTTTTATTAATAACATGTAACATCTAAATAACATAAAGTACAAATAACACTGTCAGATTACAACAAAATTGGGTAAAGGGTATTTAAGAAATTTACAAAATAGCAATTTTTTTTAAAGTTTAACACCCTGTATCTTGAAAACAAAGCATCTGCGGACAAATGTTTATATGAATTTTTTTTTGTCTTAAAATCACTCAAATAATCGTCTGTTGAATTTATTGTACATACTTATTTAACACCCTGTACAATATATTATCAATTTTAAATTAATAACCAACTTCCCTGTCCATAACGTTTTAAATACTTTAAGATATTGGCAATAATTTCATACCTTTGTTTGTCTTCCGTTGTATATTTCTCCAATTGGGACCTACTCCTAGTACCTACGGATAAAAATAATGTAAGTAACATTTATATCAACGATAACAAACAACACAAAGTGCATTAAATATATTTTATTGCTGCAGGAATTTTTTCCCCAGGCCGGGCCACATTCCCTTGCTACAGTCCTGGATACAAAAAGGAAGACTCATTATTTTGGCTTAGATATTTTAATCCTTTAGTCGGCCAATAATCATATAACAGCTTACATACACGATTTATATCTCAGACAATATTGACACAATATTATTTATTAGGGGACCAGGTATTTCCCGTCGCAATATGTGTTAATTTATAAATCTTACGTTCCTGTTAATTTGTATCTTTAAAATAAGATTTTTTACCTCCAAACGTAATAAGTTAGATGGATCATGGAAATAAGCTTGAATTACTACCTTGGCGTGTAAACCATCTGGAAGCACACTCAATAGATATTCATTGGCACTAATGTGCCGTGAAACTCTAGCAGTTATCACTATTTCTCCTGCGGAACTTTTGTGTTCAGCAGCTTTTATGGCATATATTGGATCACCAGTCATCAAGTAATGAGAATTCTCTTCGTCGCCCACCAAGGAAAATACCAAGTGACCAGAAGCTACGGCCAATTTAACTAAAACAAATATTTATAAAATTGTAACATTTATTTTTTAGGCGGATCGTTTAAATTCACTCAGGAAGGCCCATCCTTCCAACAAAGATATAGTTTTTCCGAAGTCAATCGAAGAACCAATAATTGCAAGGTATGTACCAGACTCGGTCGCTAAGCAGCAACTCGGCATTGAAATATTTGAAAAACTTGTTCCCACATTTATTTAGCCAGGTCTGGTCGAACGAAACGTGCAGGTGGTAGAAATGTATACGCTCAGTTCAAGAATGAGCGTGCTGGCAAAGATCAATACGCACTGTTGTTATGGTCCATTGCGTCATAAAATTCAGTTGTTGACCATACCCATATGCAGGTCTGGGGGTCTATTCTCGAATCTCTACTAACAATGTCGACTACGACAAATGCCACTTATAATTGTCGCATACTTTTGTAAAACTGTATTCTCGAGCAGTAGTAGACACTGTTTATACTATTCGACAATTTTGACGCATGACTAAATTTGTCAACACTGGATATTATCGATAAAACAACTTTTTTGACATCTTTCTGCGTTGTGTTCTCTGTTCACTGGTTTACTGGTGGTTTTATTTTTTACAATTTTTAGATAAATTAAAAATTAAAGTACTACCTATTTGACCTAAAATTTGTTAAGTGCTAATGGAGATAAAAAAGAATTACTGTGGTCAAAGCCAAAAAAACATGCTGATTGAACTATTACGGCAGGATCAACAGCTCGTCTCTGGTAAATTTACTGGAAAATTTTTCTATAAAGATGCCCAAAAAAGATGGGAGCATATTGCCAATATACTGAATGCAATTCCAGGGGCCTCAAAAGACTGGAAACAGTGGAGAAAGGTAGGTTCGTAAACCCTATTCAAACATTGCTTTATAACGTACATTCCTAGTAGATTTGCATATAAGCCTAAATAATATATATATACGCTTTTTGTTTAAGACCTGGCAAGACATCAGAAGTAAAGTGAAGAGCAAAAAAGCTCAGATAAGCAAATATCAAACGTGTACTGGAGGAGGACCTCCACCTCCACCAGCAGATGTACTCTCCGAAAATGACGAAAAAATTCTGTGTTCTTTCTCCGTATGTAGTTGTAGGGAGTGAAACGGTTCCAGAGACGTCTGTAATACACTTTGATTTTAATCATGATAATGATCAAACACAAGAAATTTGTGACGATCATACTGATGAAAATGAAGTCCACGAGGACCATTTATACACCAAGAATATAGATGATACAGAAAACCAAGAGAACGTGAATAAGTATTCAGTACCTAGTACTTCTAAGGATAAGGATATAACGGGATTTGCAAAAGCAAAGTCTATTACAAAGGAAAAAAGAACCGTTGCTGCAACCAGGCTTCTGAATAGTGCTAATGCTACAACAATTTTAGCTGAAACTTCAAAGAAAGACTTAGAATTAAAAGATTTATATTATACTAAAAAACTAATTCTTCTTGAACGACAGACAACAGCTTTAGAACAACTTGTAAATATCTTAAAAAGAGATGTTTGAATTAACCATTGGGTATTAGTTATTTTTTAGTTCCTTTGCCATTGTGATTTGTTTTTTAGGGAACAATTTAAATGTAATGTATATAGGTATACAGGGTTATTATGGAGAAAGTGGCCATACTATACCAAGTGATAGTACTAATAATTTTAAGCAACTCTTCATGTAAACGTAGTCTAAAATGCATCGTTTCTGCGATACAGGGTGCAAAAAGTAAAACTGAAGATGATTTTTAATTTATACTTTCGAGACGTTTTAAGATAAATTCATAAAAATTTGCACATCACCATAACATTTTGCGTTCTTTAATCGTATGGCCACTTCCTCCTGAATCACTATATTTATATTTTAAAAAAAATGTTTATTTAAATATATTTCTGTTTAAAAAATAAAAGAATATGTTACTGTAGAAATTATTTTATTAATCATTTATTTAAAGTATTTTATTCTGTAAAAAATTTATACAAAATAATTAATAACATTTCTTTGTGTACGTCGTCCTAAAATTAAATCAGGATTGATGCGACCAACATTTTCATCAATAAGTTCCATATCTATTATTCCAAATTCTAAAATTTCTTCATTATCATCATCAATAATATATTCTAAATTATTAACTATGCATATATTGTGTAAGACAACACATGTGTTTATAATTGTTGAAGCTTTCTCTAGGGAATAATGGAGAACTCTATGTTTTAGCAAACAACGAACAACGGAATCTCATTTTTAGCAAACCATTGCAACATTCTATTGTTGCTCTAGTTGATTTATGTTTCATGTTGTACATTTCCTCAATATTTCCTTGGGAATTTTGTAGTGGAGTTAATAACCAAGGTCTGAGTGCATATCCTGAATCACCTAAAACAAAATATTTGTATATACAGTGTAGGAAAGTACCGATGGTCTATCACAAGTTACGTGAGAGGGATAAAGTAAGCCATAGAAATCCATGTGATAGACAAGGATGGCTATAATGAAGGCGTCTAATAGTCAACGCCCATTTCGCCCTTCCACAAATAAGAAGTGGATCTTATTTGTGGAAGGGCGAAACGGGCGGTGACTAAGAGACGCCTTCATTATAGCCATCCTTCTCTATCGCATGGATTTCTATGGCTTACTTTATCGCTCTCACGTAACTTCAGATAGACCATCGGTACTTTCCTACCCTGTATGATAAAATTGTGAATTTGTACATAAAACAATTGTACGTCTACATTTATTTACCTAGCAAAAAATAGCCCCTATTTCCTCTATTATATAAGTTTCTTAAAAAAGGTTCTACGTTGCTGCTATTCCAAATATGTGAATCATGACAACTTCCTGGGAATCTTGCATTGACATAAAGAATTTTTAATGAAGAATCACAAATCTAAATACAATACTATTTTATTCAATTTATAGCAAGGGCAAGTTTACTATTGTTTAATTATTAGTATCAATTTATAATATACATTTTTTTTTTCAGCAGGAAGGCAAACAGTAGTGTTATACACAAGTATCTTAGGTAAATATAAGACAAAACAGAGTCAGCCATATGGAAGAAAACTACTCTTTTACTTATATGCAGTCAGCATAAATTGTGAATAAAAATAGTCACGGGAAAAGAATTCAAAAAATTATCATTAAACACAAAGAGAAATTTTTAGGGAAAAAGTGTAACTTATGTTATGTAAGACAGAACAAAATCCTATTTGAATATTGTTACATTTTAATACACATAACACATACCATTGCAAATGTGATAAATTATTATAAAATTTTGTTTTTCATCAAATATACTCACTAATTGTGTGTTAATCGAATGATAACCTTTTCTATTTATAAAATATATTCTGGATGAATAGGATCTTCGCCTCTGGGAGGGAATATGGCTACATGCGTACAATCTATACATCCTATCACTCCTGGCATTTCATATATATCAAAAAATCTATAAAATAATAAAAAAACACAATTCTTAATGGCAATATAATCGTACTTCTACCTAAAGAAGTACAATAGGTGATTGATTTAATATTGGCAGTCACTTACTTTTGTCTAACTTTATTTAACTCCTCCATGTTTCTAGGGAACCGAACCCATTCATGAAATATCTCCGGTCTATTTAATGCCTCTGTTACCTCACTAATACTTCTGCTTACAGACGACTGTGATACAGCCATATATATATTTATTCCCATTGGTAACTGATAACTACCAGTTGCAAAAAAATGTAAAGCGACTAAAACCTGCATATAAAAATACTGTTACAACAAGTTACGTACTTACATATGCACTTACCTTTGTTTTTACACTTACGTTTGATGCTCGCGTTTGGCGTTTCATAAACGGTGTAATCAATTCTATTAAATTGATTACCAGTTGTTTACTTAGCCTAAATATTTTCATAAACGCGCGATCTTCAAGTAGAAACGGATCATATTTCTTATAATACCGTCTCCTATTTTGTACCGCATCCTCTTGAACTTCTAAATTTTCAATTGCAACAAGCATATTTACGTTCAAGTTAGCCATTTTTAATTTTCTATGACCATTGACCTTCAATTATTATTAAATCGCATACGACAATCCAATATCTAGTGGTATTTACCCACTCGCTGCAGATTCTACCAAAAATTGTAGAGTGCGACATTCAAGAATACTCATATTCGCAAGTCGTGCAAATCTGGATCGACAATTTGGAAAGTCGTATGCGACTTGCGTTAATCGAGTTTCGAGAATAGACCCCCTGGTCGAACTAAACGTGGAGGTGGTGGAAATATATACGCCCAGTTGAAGAATGCGAGCGTGGGCAAACGAAAAGAAATTACATTGGGCCACTGGGTAATAAATCTCAGCCGTTGACAAGTGGTCGACAAATTGCCTAGCAGGCAGTGCCGCAATGCGGAATTTGGTGTGATTTAGGTAATTTTAATTTATTGTAGGCACCTTCTATTAATCATTCATATTACAATTGCGAAAGGGAGAAATAAGAGGAATATTTGGTTTACTAACATTATTACAACATGGCATTTTGGAGACCTTTTGAAACGGAACAAAACGAAATTTACCATCAATATAATAAAATTGTTTGAGGACATAAATAATTAAAATATGTTGTTGGTCAAATGAACGTATAATAGAAATTTTCTACACATTATATACAAATTATTATGATTTTCTACCTTTAGCAGAAAACTTTTTTAGGGACGCCCATGAAACTCATTAAATTTGATTGCTCGGTTTTTTTATGCATGTTCAACTGACCTCGAAAAAACTATAGTCTACATTACGTTCTTGCATCCAAATTTTAAGGTGATTTAATTACCTTTGTTGAAAGTGACTTTAATTAAAAAATATATATTTTTCTATTACCTCTCGCATTTTTTATTCTAATTATAAAGGTATTAAGCTCAACATATTCAAAATATTTTTGTAGTAGCCTTCTCCATAATTCCTAATGAACAATCAGTAATTATTTAGGTTTATTCTAATAATCTTGAAATAAATATGTTAAGGTCACGAAACCTGTTTTCATAAGTAATTATTTATTTTTATTTCTCAACTACCTATAACAAGGATCACTTTTCTCTAGAAAATCAATCTTGTGTCTATTTGTACAATACAGCGAAGCCTGAGCTTTTCTGTGACTTCTCCGCAAACAATAAATGTTTTGTATAGAGGGTGTTTCAATTAAAACTTCCCCTGTATGAGAGCGATACATTTCGATTTGTTGTGGCTTGACCATTCAGAAGGTTTTATAACAGCAGTGGAGGCTAGCCTCCGTTGGAGTTCGTAATCGTTCGGATCAGGATCGGAATCTACGCAGATCGGATAAACTGTGCAGAATAACAGATCATTTGGCACGGTTAAATAGTAATAAATAATATTAATATAAATTAAGCGTTTTTGAAATTAAATATTATTCTTTACATTTTAAAATTTGAGAAGCACAGATAGTATTTAAATCTTTTGGTAGAAATATAATTTTGAATCTAGTAGAAACTGCTTTGACAATATTATCTAAAATTTTAATCTGTATTGGGCAAAACGTTTTAATTCAAGCAAAAGAAACGTATGTGATTTCAATGGACTATTAAAACTGTCTGCATGCCCATTAACTTTTATTACCAACTCTTTAATTATTTTGTTTTATATGATGAACGCAAAATTTCCCCACAGTGCTCTTAGACCTACCTCTAACCACGACATCCACGTCAGTTCGATAACTTCCGTAAGATTTTTGTATAACCAAAGAACAGTCAATGGCTTCGTGAACAGCATCCCGCATACTCAACTGATCCGACACCTTCCACAGAGCGATGAACGCGTCTCCTGAGAACTTCAGGACGTCGCCTCCGTGCGACAGAATCTCCTGAACCATAGCGCCGATGTAATTATTAAGCACCTGGGTGAGGCGAGAAGGACCACCTTTTCCTGACTTATTGTACTTCTCGCACAAGTCAGTAAAGCCTGATAGAAAAACATTCAATTAATTAAAAAAACAATCTAAAAAATGTAAACAATAATTTTTTCTAAATAGGAATGGAAGAAAAGTTGGTACTATTGTGCAACAGAGAAAAATGTGGAGATCAAAACAGCGAAACTTTATCCACCAAATGTTTCTCCTTTTCTTTTTAATGAAACAAACATCAATAATAACAGTCTTAGTAAAATTTCCTTTCACGAAGGAAGCATCTTGGTGCAGTAATTTTGTATTTATTCATGATACATATTGCAGTGTATGTATCGACTTGAGACAAGGCTCACGATATGGGATCGCGATACCGTCTTGATACAAACCTCCAAGTCTGTAGCAGGCTTAAATGGTAGGTATCGGTTTTTTATATGTACCGTTACCTAACCACAGTTTGAGCTAAAAGCTTAATCTAAATGTAAGAAAATGTTTCCTACACAATCATGTGTAGTGAAATTTCTAAAACACAGTAATGGAGATATGTGGTAATGGTGAAATTTAATTTAGTTTAAAGAGGTTGGAAGATATTCGCAAAGGCTGCCTTTTCCGGGACTGGGGACTTATGGTGGGGGAATTATTATTTTAAAGCAGACTAAACTTGCAGTATAGCCTCGATTATAACTAAAGGTAAGCGCCCATTTATTCGTATCAGACGGACGCATCGAACAGTCGAATCGGACAAAAATAGTTAATTACATAATTTTAAATGGAGCAAGGTACACTTGTTCGCATCGCCCGCATCGCATAACGAGAATTATTTTCTTCTCCTGTTTTTCTTCTTCCTCAAAAACGTATGCAATGGCGGATATCTCTTCATCTGAACTGTCCATTTTGACAATAGGAATAACACTGAATTCTGCAATACGTTAGGCAAATCTAAATGTAGTGTGCGATGTTAATAAAAATAAAGATTCGTTCGATGCATCCGATACATCCGATGCGAACAAATGTGCGCTTACCTTAAACTTCCCAACTGGGCAATTCAACAACAAAATTGCATAGTGCTGGTTAGGTGAAAGTTGTAACAAATCGACAGCATACGCAGTAGTAAGTATACATCTTTATCTTCTTACATACAGGGTCGGAAAGTCCCCATGGTTCATCGGCCGTTACGTGAGAGCGATAAAGTAAGTCATAGAAATCCGTGCGA